TTCCTCCATGAGTTGTACATCACTGCACTCGTCTGGCAGCTGAACGGAAAATGCGAGATCCATCCGTTGGATATTTCACTATGTTTGTCGTACGTGACCCAAATAACTGCCCCCCTCCCCGTGATAACAAACCCCCAATATAAATGGCTAACAGCATGTAAAGGTATTTTTTTTATGTAAAATATTCAGAATGGTTCTTGATGGAAAAATGAAAATCCACGTTGAATTGTATATGGCTGGTTAGCTAAAAAAAGAATGCCAGTGCCAGTTCAAGGCATGCTGAGTTGCAGGCAGCCATCCTGCCCTTCTGCTCATGAGTTGTGTGGTGATAACGTTTTGTTATGGTGGGAATTTCAATGGGGAAATGTCACAGGCAGATTTTAGTCTAACCATCAAGAAGGATCCTGTTGAGGAGCCTTTCAAGACCATCACCTTACCCTACATTGCTGGGGTCACAAAAAGATCTCCAAAATCCTGATTAAACACAAGATCCAGGTCCGATTCAACACAGTACATAAAATCCGTGATCTGGTCCCGTCTGTAAAAGATGTGGTTCCAGACATACAGTACCCTGGCGTCTACAAACTAAGTTTCCTCTGTGGTAGCAGTTACATTGGAGAAACCAAACGACATGTCTCGGACCGCATCCATGAACATAAAGCAGACTTGAAACACGGTAGGACAAACACCTCAGTCGTGGCAGATCACTGTTACAATTCAGTGGGCTCACATGATATTGACTTCTCCAAGACAGATGTTCTCTGCAAGCCATCTGGCTACCATGAGAAATTCGTTCATGAGGCGATCCACATATACAAACACAGAAACAGTTTCAACCGAGAAGATGGATTCTGGCTTGGCAATCATTGGAAGAACGTAATAAACCATTTCGGATCTTAACTGATTGTGTTCACGTTTACGGTGACTTTCAGACCGCGTTCCACTCACTAGCATTGTATTCTCTGCAGGGAATGGATTCTTTGCTTCGCTACTCTCCCATTGACATATTTTGTTGCTTCCTCTTAGTATCTTTCACACGACGGTCAATGGTACAGTGTATAATAACAAATAGTATAACATTTATAAGCTTAATACAATGTACAAAGTAATATATAGTATCGTAATTGTATAGTGAATATATAGCAGTGTGATATACATTAGTGTAGGTAGAATAATACATAGTGTTTTATTACAATGTATAAGGTGGTTTATAGCAATACAGTATATAATTTAACGTTGGGTTTGTCTATGGCAGTATATAGTACGGTGTAGACTCGTGTGATGTAAGAGAATAATGTTTAGATGGAAGCATATTATATAATTTTTATGACGTAGAATTGTAATGTATTACTTACTGTTAGTAACTCAGCTTATTGTAGAGTATAGTTAGTATACTGATGATACTATGTAGTTTATACTTTGGTTGTTTACGTGTTGGTTTTAGTTACTGCAGCTACATACTATTAACAGTCCTTCCCTTTATTAATGCTACCCCTCCCTTTGATGCTGCTAATCCTGCATAATGCACGGGCATAATTAGTACTATTCACATACCTTCATTTCCCATATCCCCTCCCTTTGATGCTGCTAGTCCTGCATAATGCACGGGCATATGTAGTACTAATCACATTCATGCATTTCCCATAAATATGCTAAATTCCTCTTGATATGCAAATTATTTTGTCAAGGCGCTCTTTCCCCCCCTTCCAACGCAGCTTATATATATGCTCCAAGCTCGTGTGCTGTTTCATTCAGACGCTGTCGCCTCGACAGACCTGGTTTTCACCTGAGGACGGCTGCTTGCGTTGTGGCCGAAACGTCGTGAGAATTATTTTATTATGTTTTATTTTTATTATTTTATTACTTCCCTTCCACGTGACTTTACCGAAATAAGATTTGTTAACCTGTTTATTTGTCCATCCATTCTTCCCTCATCTCTGCGATTGACCACCATCAACCCACCGACTGCTACTCTAAACCCCTTTCCTCACAGCAATGCCCGAGTGTTGAATTCAGTTTGTGGCAATCCCTGCAAAGACGCTTGTCAGAGATTAATTCATGAAAACTGATTCACCTTCATCAAAGAAACAAAACAAAAAAACACGCTCTTTCGGTATTTTAAATAATCTTAGGCCTGTCCGGGTTCCACGTCAGGCTGGCCACAGCGATGGTCGAGCCCCGGGGGTGAGCGATGCCGATAACGGTCACGTTTTGTCGGTTTGGCATAGACAGGCAGGGGGGGACAAAGGGAGATTCAGTTGAGGGGCACTGAACCATTGGGCAGCTGCAATGAATGTTCGCGGGCAAAGTCAATCGACTGCTGGACGAAGACCTCACCAATCCACCGCCAATCTCCCGTGATATTTGAATCCATGTGGAATCTACGCACCAGCTGTTTTTACCTGCTCGTATCTCCTCAGTGGACTACCAACTCGTCACTCGTTATGTTCGCGTAGGTTTGGGTCGATGGTTATATTGATATTCGTATTGATCTAGAGAGGACTAAGAAAGTTGAGAGTTCAAATAGACAAAATAATTAGTGCCACTTCATGGAGTTTCAACTGTGGTGATGCTTATGGCTATACTGGCCCCTGCTACGGGACTGTAACATTTTTTACCACTGGCTCAGGATCTACTAATGGAGATGAGCACAACCCCATTGCTTGTCTGATAAGTGAGATACTTTGATGTGGATGTTATTAGTAATTACTTGCTGCGCACCCATTACATCTATGGGGATATAGCAACTGCACATTCTCTCTCCTTGCACCGATGCCCTCACCCCATACTCCTGCCTCATTGTAACAATGAGGCAGGAGTATGTAGTTTGGGGAAGTTGTTGGTTACATTGCTGTAAAGTGTGCAGACCATTTGAAGTTTTTAAAGAATTAGCATTATTGACTTCTACCAGGCACACATGATGAACTCCAATAGCCCTTGCTTATTTTGTATATGTTTTGGCTTTTGTCCTCCTCTGGTTTTATCCAAACTTGGCTGGTGATGACTCATCTCCAGACCATGAGCTTAGAACATATATCACTGCTCATTCACTAAATCTGGTGAGATTTCTCTCTCCAACGCAGGGCTATTATTAGAACAGGTGGCATGTTTTTGGAGATGTGTCAACGCAGCCTATTTTGTATGTGGGGTCATTGACGTTGGTACCACTGTTTGAGGACGTCTCCAGTGGTTGCAAGTTTCGTCGAGTCCCCTTTGTATGGAATGCTTATTTGAGCAGTCACACCGACTAAACATGTGAATATGCATCACACCATAGGAAGAAACAAAACATAAATCCCAACGTGACTCCATGCTCTCTCAAGCGTTGAGTGATGCTCATCTATATTCGGCAGTCCTGAGCCAGTGGTGGATATTAAGTTATTGATCCAGCACTCACCGAATCACTCTGGTCAATCGCTCTGTTTTTTATTTTTTTTACCAAGTAGGGCTCACTGAGCTATGTAGCACTTTTCAGAAGTGACCTGGCTACAATTTATAGCAGCCAAATACTCTAAACGCATGTTGATTCCAATTGTGGAGGGAAAAACTGGAGGAGCCGGTGAAAAAATCCACGTGACCGCTGGAAGAACACTCAAACTCCAAATATACAGGCATCATGGTCGGGATCGAACCCACGACCTCCAGCATACGAGGCGAGGGAGTTCACATCTCGCCAACACTCGCCGGCAGTCAGTCGCCTCCTTATCACTGCTCTATTGCTACTGGGTAGCACATTCACCGTTTGTTGCAGATGTTCATGGTTCAAATCCTGCGGCTGCCCTAATTATCACTGCGGGTGTCATAACCATGATGAAACTACGCGCCATTTTGCTTCATTGACAGTGGACGTTAAAGATCCCGTGATGCATTTTGCAAACCTAGGCCATTGTATGCTGGCGTCAGGGTCCAAATTTGTCAAGTTCGAACATTTTCTGAATATTACCAATTGGGACTATACATAGCAATTATTATTATTTCGTACGTCTGATGTGGATACAGAGCAACAACTACAATGTCACTTCCAGGTGGTCAAGCCAGATCACCGCATCAGAGCAGCGGAGTGTATGGCAACCATCACCCCCTACTGGTATACAAATGCCCCAGGTCACTCTTTCAGATGAAACTATTATGGTGTTTTCATGAGTTCTCATCTGGTTAAACAAAGTGAACTTGAAACTTCCATGGTTCCTGTTGCCGTGAACGTCACTCGTTGATTTCTCCAGCCATGTGACCAGACGGTCTCATCTCACCCGTTCAACCATCACACTCCAGGCCACAAGACGCTTTGCTTTTTTCCTTGTGTTGCTCCATTTTGGAATTCCCCCAGCCCCTCCCCTCCCTACCACTGCCTTCTCCCTTCTATCCTTGGTTATTTTTACATGTTCATACAACTTTTCTCAATTTTAGAAATGCATAAACTCGTCTCTGATTTATATTCAACACGTTCCGTCGGAGTGGGCAGGTAGGAACTTGGTTGGACAGCGCATTCGTGCACGACAGACAAATATGCACGACAGACAGACAAATAATCCCTGGTGGGCAGTGTGGAACCTGCTGTTCCTACCTGTAATACTGCTAAATGTGTGCGGGCCACGTGGCATATTGGGCCATTGAACCAGTGCTGTTCCAATTGTGATAACAACAAAACAATTTCTCATCACACTACCTAGTCCCTCGAGATGCAACGAGCATCGCAGCACACCATTTTGAGGGTGTGAATCCTTTGACTTACAGATAATCACCACAGAGAATGAGAATCTTTATTTATCCTGGAGAAATCCGATGAGCTGTGAAGCTCTCTTTCACAAATGTCCAGTTGGGGTGGGTCAGAAAGTGACAAAAACACGATAGGAGCACAAAGTATAGGAAAGGTAAGCAAACCACTAAAATTAAATAAATAAAATAGGCAGCATTTAAGTACAAATTGCATATACAGAGGCAGTCGCATGGACGTTGTCCCGCTTTGATGTGCTCGGACACCTGTATCGGCGGTCACACAGGCTCCAGGATGGGGAGTCCAGGACAGGCGAGGAGGAGGAGGAGGAGGAAGAAGAAGAGGATGAAGTGGAGGAGCAGGGAGGTGCGATGAAGGAACGCCGGATGCCGGTGGGGCGGAGGGGAACTGCGGCGGCGGCGGCGGCAGCCCGTCTCGCCGAGCACCGCACCGCCCTCCTCACCGCCCACTTCCTCTTCGCCATGGTGTGGGCCGTCGGCGGAGTCCTGGACCGGCCCTCCAAGGAGAGGTGCGACGCCGGCTGCGGTGCGCCGGTGGCTCCGCGATGAGTGGCAGCCCCTTCTTCGCTTGCATGCTCTCACACCTCTGCTGGCGGAAGGGCCTCCACTAAGAGGGAGCTTGAGAAATCACTTCTCGGCGGACATTTGGTCTAAATCTTGATTTGAAGCTTTCGTCACTGCAGGGATCCATACTCTTTGGTTCTTTCGGTAAAGTCACGTGAGTAGAACAAATTATAATAGATCACGACGTTTCGATCTCAACACAAGAGATCGTCTTTTTTTTCACCTGAAGACGTTTGCTTGTGTTGCGATCGAAACGTCGTGTTCTAATATGTTTTCTACCTACGTGACTTTACCGAAAGAACCAAAGAGTATTTGGTCTAAACTTACACTCTGGCCAGACCTCTTGGAAGAGGTGGGAATACCCACACTTTACCGCACTGCACACCGCCTGCTGATCGATGAACTGCGGCGTGTCCATTTATACTGGATCGAGGTGGGAGGATTTCATAAACGTACCCATTGTTTCAACTGCTGAAACGAGAGATGAAACAGGTGAGACCTCTGGATTGCAAGTCCGGTGTGCCAATCGTTGTACCACAGCAGGATGCCAGTGTTATTAATATCAACCACCTGGTACCACGACAGGGTCGCGTTGGTGAGTGCACTATGCTACGATCCTATCGACCTGAATGTTTTACCCAGCCATCATCTAACATCACTGGCTGGTGGGTGATATCTTAACTTGTCCTGGGCCTTCCCTGGGTCGATCTGGCTTTAAATCAGTACCTGGTGAAGTGTGTAAACATCCACAATGGGGAGACAAAAGGTTCTGTCTCTACCCCCTCATGGTTTGATCCCGGCCCTGACACCTGTAAATTTGGAGTTTGCATGATCTCTCTCCCCCTGTGGTCCGGTGGATTTTTCTACAGATCCTCCGGTTTTTCCCTCCATATTTAGAAACATGTGCGTAGAGTATTTGGCTGCTATACATTTCCATGTGATAAGGTCACTTCATTGGGCTATCATTTGTGGCCAGGTTGCTTCTGATAAAGAGCTATATAGCTCAGTGGGCCTTACCTGGTAACATTAAAATAAAATGTTTTTGTCGTTTTAGTTTAGTCATGCACCATGCACCTTTAGGGCAATGCTATTCGTGAGTACCTATTGGCCAGCACTACGTGTGGGTGTTTTGTCCTCTCGTTTCTTTACACACTGTCCCAGACATTTTTTTAAAGGCTGAGTTGACCTAGAGGTAACCCAGAACAGGTTCAGACACCATTTGCCACCGATCAGCGTTGGGAATCAAACCCAGGTCACCAGGTTTGTAGCACAGCCCACTCTGCACTGCGCCACCATACAAAGACAAAGAGTCCCCCTACATCCTTAGCAGACTGTTGGGCGAGTGCTGTTTGCAAGCAGCATGTGCACGCGCACACGCAGACACATGTGCACGCGTACAAAAATAGAATTTTGTTAAATAAATAAAATTGACAAAATTCACCTTGTGGTTTGGCAGATTGAAGCATAATTCCAGGAAATAATCATATACACAAAAACTGTTGAGATATTTTCTTGGCAGTACTTTACACCGTTTTTACATATAAATAGTTTAGCATGTTTTTTTTATTTTTTCAGGAGTTTATATTTTTACAGCTGTCTCGGTCTCGTTATTCAGTAGCTTGTCCGTGACTGTATGGGTTCCAGAGATAGCCCAGACTTTTGACGCTATATTAAACCAAATTTCTTTGTAATGTTTGTAAAGGGAATATAATAGTTGGTATGCATGCATCAGACACCCTTTAACTGGAATAGCAACGAATGAAAACTGCTTTGCCCTTGAATTTTTTTTCCCCTTACAATGACAAAGTCCAAACTATTGCTGTGTTTAATTAAATATGGGGTTGTCTATGGCCTTAGATGAAGCCACTTCAGAAGTTAGTGAATGGATATTATTAATGGCTTGAAACCTTCTCTTTCTCTTTTGTATAAGTCATGATGAGAATTTATCATCGTAATACACATATAAAATATGTAAAAAAAAGTTACAGAAACATTTTGTGGATCGCTATCGTGTTGAGGCAAGGAATACTGCATTTCCAAAAAGTTATTTCCATCCTGTTTATTTTAATGTTGTGGCGTTCATGTGTGTGTGTATGTGTGGTGCTGTGGGGAGCGGTGGTGTCGCGGTTAGCACGCTTCGCTATGAACCCGGGAACCCAAGTTTGATTCCCGCTCATGGCCAACACCAGTGACAATTATCTGGATCGGTCCTGGGCCTCCCCTAGGTCAATTCATCCTCAAATGAGTACCTGGTGTAGTGTGTAAACATATGGAGACAAAGGCGGCCGAGCGTGATGCTGGCCACCCACATCCTTGTGTGCCATGCCGGCCTTCATAGGTGCTACTCGCTAACAGCACTTGCCCCAACAGTCTCTTTAGGCTATACGTGGGATCTTTCTCTTTGTTGTATATATGTGGAGATGCTCACTAACAGCACTTGCCCCAACAGTCTGCTAAGGCTATATGGGGCATCATTGTCTTTATATATGCGGCGGTGTTATTTGTGCGCGCAGTGTGGTGTGCACATGGGTTCAGTGTTCTGTGATTTTGCGAGTGGTGGTGTATGCGGTATTGTGTCAATTAGTGTCTACGTCTGTGGTGTTGTGTGTGAGCACAGCACTGTGTATGCATTTTTGTGTGTTTTGGCTTATGTGCGTGCATAATTGTGCATGCAGTGTCGCATTGTTTTGTGTGTATTTATGTGCAGTGCTGTGTATTAACATTCATGTAGTATTGTGTGTGTTGATTAGTGTTTTTCTTTGTGCGTGTAGCAGTTAGCGTGCTGCGCTACGAACCCTGGCCAACTGAGTTTCGATTCCTGCTCACAGCCTACACCAGTGATGATTATTTGAAACTGTCATGGGCTTCTCCTAGGTCGATTCAGCCTCAAATGAGTACCTGGTGCGATGTGTAAACATCGCAACTGGGGGAGAACAAAAGCGGCCGGGTGTGGTGCTGGCCACCCACCGCATCATGCTCCGTGATGGCCTTCATAGGTGCTCGCCAACAGCACTTGCCCCAGCAGTTTGTTGAAGGCTCCAGGGGACATATGTGTCACGTGGTGTTGTTGTGGTTCACCTTCCCTGCTATCCATATGTCTGCGATTCATGTCCTTAGCGTGAACAATTCTAATGGCAATATAGTGCCTGAACCTGGCTTGGTTCTCCCCGCGGACAACTCACCCTCAACTAATTATCTTGTGAGAATAGACAAAACATACACTCTGATAATAGACAGCTTTCTCTGGTGTGGACCAATCAGTTTCAAAGACAATGCATATATTATCAAAGTATTTTTTATTTGCATTCTGACCACGAGTGCTGTGGTTAATGCAGACATGATTTCTTGTAAAAGGTTTCATTTTGGTGTTTTAACATCTCAACACCTGTTTTGTTGCCAGAACAAAAGTGGAAAAACCTATTCTCATATTTTGGTACTGGCAAAGGAGGTCCCATGATTATTCACTTGTGTGCGTGTGTTACGTCAGCGTCAGAAATAGGGAAACAAAGGTAGGCAGGCACGGTGCTATCCACATCACCGTCTTGTGTGCTCATTAACAGCAATTGCTTCAGCGATCCGTGTGGGTGAACGGGATATATTTGTCTCTCTATGAGGGCATGAATGTCCTTGTGCTGGGTGCAGCGGTTATATGGTTGTTAGCGGCCACCTGTGATTTATTACAACGCAGTAATTATGAGACACCGTGTTTAATTCTTGGCTTCACACGTAACTAATCGTTGGTTTCTGTAAATGTAGACATTTCTCATGTGCAAGCGCAACTTAAAATGCACACCTAGCGCACTGCGGCAATTGAATTTCAAAGCGAGGGCAGCTTAACGAAGCGCTCACCTGACCTATTCACATTTTCATTATCGCTGATATAATAGAGTGTGCGTGTGTAATTATCATCATCAGCCATGAAATATTAACGGTAGGGTTGAAGGTATGCCCACACCAGTGCCGTTCGTCATGCTGTATTTATGTATGTGGGACTTCGTTCGTCATCGTACATAGCCAACCGTGCTAATCGGAGGTGTTCTTGCGGTGCCATGGTTCTTGTCGCCGCTATGCACGGGCAGATCTCATCTCTCCACCTCCACAGTCGTCGTCCTCCCAGTGTGTCTCCTCCTTTGGCTGCCGTTCCATCTTCGGTCTCGTCCATCGGCTATTATCCCATCTAGCCGTACGTGTTGCACACAAAGCGCTTGCCACAAATGAACCACCTTACCTTGCTGATCTCGTCAAGGAGCATAAACCATCACGCGAACTCCGGTCATCCTCGCAGCAACGTCTTTTGGCTGGCCATAGAACAAAGACAGTCACCGCATCGCGCACTTTCAGATGTGCTTCTGTGGCCGTCTGGAACTCTCTTGCTTCCGATATTAAGAAGCCACTGGAGCTATGTACTTTTAAATCCAGATTGAAATCTTAATTTCTTTAGAAAAGCTTTTTGTGTTTAGTTTTTTTGTCCTTCCCCCCGCCGCACCTCTGATTAGCACAGTTGGCTATGTATTGCATTTGTTCTCTGATCAACGCGTTCTTCTTTCTGTCTCGATGCAATTTACAGCACTCATCTATCCGTGACTGTATTCTTAAAATTTGTGTGACATTTTCTCCGTGATTGTCCATGGTTCTGGTCCATATGTTAAAGCAGGCAATATGTACCGATTGAAAACTCTTTCGGCACAATGAGCATATGTCCCACACTAACACAGCCACCTCGCTCGCCGAGCTCGACGTTGCTGCTCTGCGATCTTACATTAACATGCCAATCTCTCACATTAACATGCTAATCTCTCACATTAACATGCTAATCTCTCACATTAACATGCTAATCTCTCACATTAACATGCTAATCTCTCACATTAACATGCAATCTCTCACATTAACATGCTAATCTCTCACATTAACATGCTAATCTCTCACATTAACATGCCAATCTCTC